GAGAGAGAGAGAGAGAAAACGCCCAGGCCCGGTCGAATGCCGTTAAGTCGTGCGTTCAGTGACCGCACCGACACACGGCGACCTGCAAACAACAGACAGTTTGATTAAAAGTAATTGCGTATGTCCGATATAGCCGGGATTTTGGACGAATTTTCGGATCGGTCGCGTCGCGCGCCGCATCGCGCCGTGTTCATTCACAGGCCGTTGATAATTTCGCGAAAATGCATTTCACGGGTCGATTGCAATGTGGATCACGCTGTTGTTTTCGGCTTCGTGCCCGCTTCCTGCGATCCTTCCGGCCGGAGTGTACCAGGCCGCTATAATTTATGATGCGGAAGAGCCGGTATAATGGCCGCGGGAGCAAGCCAAAGGCGACTGTTCTCGTCGTCGTCGTCGTCGTCGTCGTCGTCGTCGTCGTCGTCGTCGTCGTCGTCGTCGTGGACTCTTGCCACTGTAAAGTGCGCGAGCAATCGACTAAATGTATTTAACGGCGCGTCGGAAGACGCAGAGTGCATAATTTAAATTCCGCATTCAGTTTCCTATATCGAGCGGATTCTCGAGCACCGAACTCCGTAGACGGTTTTCCGTACCGCGTCAGCGACGTCCGACGGCCCGTCTTAATTATAAAGAAGACGTAAGGCTAACAAGTCTGATGGGATAATAACTTCCTCGATCATTCGAAAAATACCACGTAAAATCGTGTTTTACACGTTATATAATTAACCGACTTATAGCCTTGCACAATTATCGTATTTTCTTCAATTTAACGACAATATCGCGATACGGAGATACCGCCATTATACCTTATTCGCTGTTCGTGTGTCCTCGTTAAAATGTTACCTTCGGCAATTTTCATGAAAAAAGATAAGATATGTGTTAGAATTGTGTCGTGACAAAGTTTTCAATATCTTTTATTTTCTTTCCTACACTTTGACTTGATTTTTAGTTCTAGCTCACATTTTTCTATGAGCTAATCGTAAACGTTTTCATTAATTATTCATGTTTCTTCAGCAGATTCGCTTTTTATACTTTAATGTAACAATGATACAGTAGGAAAATTAAAAAAGACGTTTATGTATTCGCGATACGGAGATCTTAATCATCACAACTGGGGATATATAGACGTGTTTTTATTATACTTCGAGATACTTCTGCATCTTAATTTTTAAATGCAGATGAGAATCTAGTTGCCGCATTGTCGAGCCTACGTTTCCATAATGTAAATTTTATTATCTACAGGCAGCTAAATCCTCGCATATTTTAGTGTCCGTGAATTTTTAATAAGTAACAACATGCAACTTTTTCCGATAGTCGTAATTATTCAGCCTTATCTGAAAATAATAGATATATTTAAACTTTAAAAAATAAGAGTGTTATATTTTTATAAGTCATCACATAAAAGATAAGTAAATTACTTCCTGGCGTACTATTTAAAAAATATCTGTAAAATACACTTATGCATCCATTTAATAATGCAAAATTATGGTCCCTTTACACATAAGGTAAGGCTTATACAATATACAAACTTTGTACTGCTACCGGCACATTTTTAAATCAGAGACATCGGTTCTTAAAAAGGTAATAATGGGAATTTTTCTATCGTAACCTGTCACACGTTTGCAATTTGACAAACGCATTAGCTCGTTAACCGCAAAGCAGTTTGAGATTAAACTTCGTAATTCTCCTTTGAAAAGCTCAAGCCCGAGTCGATTAAGGGTAACTAGCATCGTATACAAAAGTTCTCGCGCAGCTGCAGAAAGTAATGCGACAATGGATCATCGTTAAGAAATACGAGATTGCGAAAAGTATACGTATATAAATACAGAGATATAGTCGATGCTGAAAATTTTTGAAACGGGATTAAAAAGATAAAATTATTTAATTACGTCTGGACAAACTATGCTCTCGAAGAAACGTATACTTTTGATAACATTGCACCGTTAAAGTCGTTTTTAAACAACGTTTCACCTCAAAATATTATCTCTCGTCGTATTTGCTCTCTTAAAGTCAGTGTTAGTTTTTCCGCGCCGACGAAGAAGGGGGGAAAGGGAGGCATGAATGAATCAGTGACAAATAAGTGTCTCCGTCAAGACTGGTACCGGTGACATCGACGTGCGACGCAGATGTTGAGTCATCCGTGCCAGAAATATCGTAATTGCCTCGTCCGCATATATACATATGTAGGTGCATTTCCCTCCACTCGTTATGTAGATAGCGAGGATGACGCGTCCAGAAGATTCTAGTTCTCGTCGGTGTTTCTTTTTCCTTCTTTTTTTTTTTTTTAATCTACCGATCTAAGTTTCCTGTTGAATTTACGTATGATGCTTACGTCACCGAAGAAACTAATCTCCTTTTTTTTTCCTAAAAGTCATGGAAAAATAATCTGATATACGTCAAATATATATGCGGCTCACGAATAAATTACGCGGTCGTGGTTGTAACTTCGCGTCAATTCAAACCGACGTTTGACGATAATCCTCTCGTTTATATTTGTATATATAGATATTGAATATATTACGGAGTCTCTCGCGTTTGTCAAACGCGTGACAGTTTGCGGGAATACATTTTATTGTATATATTACGGCGTCAGATACCAGCAAACGTTATCTCTTTCCCTAGATTCTACCGCGCCTGTGTAAATTTGGAAGTTTATCACGTTGGGCAAACTCACGGTATTGTTGCGGTCGTTCCGCAACGAACGGAAAAAAGTGAGTTTGCATATCGAATTGCATAAACAATGTATTAATTGAAAGGGCCGATGAATGAAAGCGCATGGTTTAACAATATTTTCAAAAATATTTTAATCGGGAAACAGTTATCCGAATTTTGCCGATATATAATGAAAAAAATATCTTTTTTTTTTAGGCTAACAAATATTTTATAAAAATAAGAACGACAACGGACTTGTATAAAGATAAAACAAATAATAAAAGTATCGAAAATATCATCAGAAAAATGGTTATTTGTAAAAAAATTTTCTAAAAATATTATATTCTCCAATTTCTTTCCAGCATTGATATTTTCGATCGCGTACTTGACAACTGCAATTAATTGCGTCGTTTCGATGAAATGTGGTACGCTGTATGCTGTAGTGCGACACGTTGGGAATGTGTGTGCACAAAATATAACGATTTATTCCAAAGATTAAGTGAACTTTCGCAAGAACACACGGCGTAACCGCATTCAGGCACTTGCCCGTATTCTCCAATTGCGAAAGCGTTAAATGTCTATCATCGCAAAGTGTCTACTTAGGCATTTACTTCTTGCATATGAATCAGATACTCGTCTGGCAGATTATAATACATGCCATCTGCAGTTCCGCATCCGCTCGGCTGTTGCACCACACGCGGCGTTTCGATCCATCCGGCGGCGCTCGTCGGCGGTGAAACGTCGAATTGAAAATATGTGTTTTTTCGCAGTTATCCGGAGGATGACGAGGCATCAATTTACAATGGCGTGACCGTAGCGTATAATACATCGTCTATACATTCACCGAACGAGGACAACGACGATTTGTCCGCCGCGATGAAATATATGTACAGAAAGTCACATCTCGGTATATACGGAATTATTCGACTTCTCGCGAATAAAAGAGAATTTATCCTTAAAAAAACCGGAAAATGGCTCTTCTCGCTTGAATCATTAGCCCGCGTTTGTCTCGTTTAAGCTTAAGATACGGTAATCTCTCGATGGTTTAGTATTTTGCAGCGTCGATGTGATACTAATTCTAGACACCAGCAACGTAACAATATACGTATTATTGCAGTGTTCCAATTCGAATGGGAATGGAATGTTCACTGCGTTTCGGTTAAATACGAATGTACTTCAAACAGAGATGCACACGTCGCGCGTAACTGTTTTATTCGAACTTGGGGAATGGGAAATTGATTTCAACATTCCCGTCGTAAATATGGACGTAATGAAGCGCGAAACCGGGTCCCGGGTGCGAGGGGCCGCATTCGAAACAACGAAAAAATGCAATTAATATTTTTATATCGGTTAAATTAATAATAAACAGAATATAATATACGAGATTGTTAACATCATCCATTTACCTAATTATATCCCACTTTACCGTGCTAAATCCAATTTTTGCCGCGACAGATAATTATAATAGTATATTATAATAGTATAATATTATTTTTTTAATTATATTTATCCCAATTATTTATGCCTTTTTTCTATATCCTCATTTTCACGCGATGGTGCACTCGTCCTTGCAGCCGATTTCGAGGAGCGTTCGCGCATGTATGCAGCTGCTGGAAAGTGTGTTAAGGTCGAGCAATCGACATGCGGGCTACCAGTAAGTCATGGTCTCCGTCACTATGTCGAATTTCACAATCGAAAATCGGATCGGTCGAAATTATGGCCTAAAATTAATCGGCCGAATGACACGCTCTAAATCATTAGCGTTTCACGTGTTCACTTGCCAACAGCGCCTTTGATAAATTTATTTCCGTAAAAACGCTTCCAATTTTCGCGGCGATGTGGCGGTGGTGACCCTGTCGTATCCGTCTGCACCAGGTACCGCTTATGGATCGGTTGGTTGCTATAGTATATAGCGAATACCAGTACTCTCGTTCTATCTTTCTCTCTCTTTCCACCTCTTGCCACCCTCTCGTCGGGGGTAGTAACAGAATCTCGAGTGTTATATCAATGGAGTCGGCCGCGAGTAGCCGTACGACGAAGTGGTTTTTCATTCTATCGTGACGGAAATGGCGCGCTGTTCGACCTTGAGAACGTCTGGAGACACTCGAGAGAGATTCCGTTCGGGCGACGTCGGTTGATAAGAGCTGCCAAACAAGTTGCTCAAAAGCCGAGCGTGAACGGTAGAGTTACGATAGTGTGCTTTCGACGCTTTCTCCGACCGACCGCAACGAAGGGATATGTTTGAATGGGTGGTATTTGCTCGTGCCGCGTTGGTCGCGGCAGCCAGGTCAACGCCGGTTCGATCCTCGACCGCGTGATCAGCCAGGCGAGCAACGAGGATCAATGTTTATTGTACCGGTTGGCTAACTACAAGAAAGGCGGCGAACTGATCGAGGCGTACAATCAGGGCGGCCAGCCGGAAGTGGAGAAGCTGATTCGCGATCAGTTCGGTATCTTGATGTACGCGGACGGCAAGGGCCAGACGATCAATCGCGCCGAGTATCTACGCTGGAAGTTCCGCGACCTCGAGCAGGTCGTCTTGCCGATCGAGGCCTCGCTGTCGCGTTTCGATCCGCTGGCACAATGGAACGATCACGAGGCCTGCTGGCAGATGCAGTACAGAGGCTCGCTCGGCGAGACTCTGCTGCACGTTCTCATCATATGCGACACGCGGATACACACCAGAATAGCGCGCACCCTGCTCAAGTGTTTTCCGCGATTGGCCATCGACGTCGTCGAGGGTGAGGAGTACCTCGGTGCGAGCGCCCTTCACTTGGCGATCGCCTACAACAACAACGAGCTCGTGCAGGACCTGGTCGAGGCGGGCGCGATTATCTCGCAGCGGGCCATCGGTAGCTTCTTCCTACCGCGTGACCAGCAGAGGATGAATCCCGCGAGAAATACCGATTACGAGGGCCTCGCGTATCTGGGAGAGTACCCGCTCGCCTGGGCCGCCTGCTGCGCTAATGAGAGCGTCTACAACCTGCTGCTTGATTCCGGCGCGGATCCTGACGAGCAGGATTCTTTCGGAAACATGATTTTGCACATGGTCGTAGTTTGTGATAAATTGGTGCGTAAATGTAAAAATTACATCTGAGGAATTTAGATTATGATGATTGTCCCTTTTGTCTTCTTTAAAAGATTTTTCCTGATACAATGTTTCGATTAAATAAGATAAATATGTTTGCCTTAATTTATATTTTACGAGAACAATAGTCAAATTTTTTTCATTAAATATCATTGTAAACGTGCGATATTTTGTTTTTAAATTTTATTATTGATATTTATATTTTTGTGCTTTTTTAATGAAGATATACACTTTTTTATTTCATCTATCGTTATCTCAACGATTTTTGTTTCACATTCTGAAGTATAGTTACACACGAATATTGACATTTCCACCGACATGGTCCGCTGTTCCGAAATGGCTCGCGTAGAGAACTGTTATTTGACGTAGGACATGTTCGGCTACGCATTGCGACATCCGAAGCTTCCTGCTCGCAATGGAATCGTGAATGCCGCCGGCCTGACCCCGTTGACCCTTGCCTGCCAGCTGGGGCGTGCCGAGGTCTTCCGTGAGATGCTGGAGCTGTCTTCACGGGAATTCTGGCGTTACAGTAATATCACCTGCTCGGCGTACCCTCTCAATGCCCTCGACACGCTGCTACCCGACGGCAGAACAAGTACGTCGTAAAGCTAATCGAATTACGCCGGCTCTACGAGAATCATTATCTACGGTCCACCGGATCATGCGTCTTCAAATGGGCCTTTACTTTGTCGCATGTTCCCGAGTTAATTGCGATGAGTCAAGGCCAAGACGTTTTCAAATAATAGTGGCATCGTAATAACATTGCATCGCGGAAAATTCTTGTCGCCTTTTTATCGTCGCCATAGCGCCCCCCTCTCATCTCTCTCTTTCTCTCTCTCTC